AGGTGTTTTTTTTTTCTTCGGGTGAGTAGTTGGCACTCGGTATTTTCAATGGTAAACGGTTTATTTTTTCTTTGGGCCTGTAGTAGTAGGTTTAAGAATATTTCAAAATAACTCATATTCTTTTCTCGTCTTAAGATGAAATTGTTTCAAACATAATATAAAGTTTTTTTTTTTTATTTAAATACACAAACAGTAACAGATTATGTGTTATTGACTATTTATAGATTTATAGTGGTATCTTACGCAAGTTATCATATTCACTATTTTTTATAAGTTTTCACGACGTTCATTCATCAAATTTGATTTTTTAGTTCATTTTTTTTCACGATGTTCTTTCGCAATGTTCATTTTGATTAATTTGTTTAATATCTAACGTTATACATTTATTGTGTTTGTAGAGCTGTAAATTGGAATAAGTCGCTTGTGAACTATGTTCATCTCGTTAAGACAAGAAAAGGTTTTTGAGTAATTTCATGAACTTTTAACAATTTTACTGCGCCGAGCTCGAGTTCGTTTATTGTATAGTTAACTTACGAGCCGCGTAGAGGGCTCGGGCCTGAGCTCGAGTCGGTTCGGTTCACTTACAACTCAATTTGTTTGACTAGCATGTTGTTCTTGTGTATATTAATTTTTTTTTTATGTAAATGAAATAGAAAAAAGTTGGCTAGAATCCTACATCAAATTATTGATCAACCTCTCTCATCCATTATTCCATTGGCATATGAATAGGAATTACAATAGGGAATAACATATATTAATTCTGTTTTTAATAACATCAATATTTTGGTTATATATGGACAAAAGCCATAGTTTTAGTGTAATTATCATGCTTATTATTCATATATGCTGATTTTATTACAAGTGAGTCAAATGTTAAAAATTGTTTGGACTTTCACTAATCCATACCATCTAGAAGCTTTTATTAGTGCTGCAAACCACTTCACAAAATTGCACATTACATAAGATTCCATCTTCTAAATAATAAAATTAAGAGGCAAAAACTTAAAAAATCACAATAACCCTTTGAGGGTACAGATGGGACCTTAATAGCTCCATCTATTTTTTTACACATGTTGCTTTTTATTTAATCTATTATTATTATTATTATCATCCCCTTTCAACTTGCCTCCCAATGTCCAATGAAATTTATCATAAGATGAAAGGTCATTAAAAAAAAGGGAAAAAAAAACAAAGTGTTAGTAATGATATAATTAGTTAATTACCTAGTTTCAAGGGCAGTTGTGGCTTTTCAGTTGAGATGCATACAAGAAAAGGAGCCAAGAGAGAGCTTGGTTGGTGGCGTGTAGGACTTGTCCAGGGTTATGAAATATGAACATTAAAACAAACATAAGCAAGCAAAAAGCTCTGATTTTTCTATTTTGTTTCTCTTTAATCTTTGTGAGTGGAAGTATACCTTTTATGCCCTCTTCAATAAATTATTGTTTGCTCTGCAATTATTAATGATAAAAAATACTAACATGTACTTACAAAAGTTATCTCTCCTCTCTCTTCCATCTATCTCTCAACTTTTTTGTTTTTCTTTTTATTTTTCGTTTTAGTTTCTTATTTTTTTCCTTTTTATTTGGATGGAGATGGGTGGATGAAAATGGGATATAGGATAGAGATAATGGTCCTTTGCTAGCAGACATTTCTACCACCATATTCTCCTTCATCTTTGCTTTCACAGATTCTTGTTGCAAGCTATCCATATTTAATCAATCTTATTTATTTTCCCCTTACCCAGATCCTTTTTTTTCTTTTCTCTCTCTCTCTCTCTATCTCTCTCTCTCTCTCTCTCTCTCTCTCACCTTTATCATAGTGGCAACATTATTTACTGCATAAATCATTAATCTTTCGAACCTATTATTACCACAGTTGCTGTCTTGGAACTCCAACAGTTAGCTTACTTGTGGGTCAAACTCGAATACCCATAATCCCACTTGTCTGATTAGTTTAATTTTCAAGAGCTTAAGGTTCCGATCTTGCATCAAGATCTCCTTTTTTTGTTTGGCTGCAGGTCTTTTGGGTTTGAAGGTTTATTTGAATTTGTTTTCTTTTCTATTTGATGTTGTTTGCATCTCGATTTGAGCATTATATTTGTAAAGGATAAATAAAGTTGGAATCTTGAGTGTTATTTCATTCTTCTTCACGGGGAAAGCCTGAGAAAATCCATCTTCTTCAACATCTGTTCTTCGAGTTTAAAGTTTGAAGCAACTCGGGTAAGTAGCACACCATCACTGTCTGTAGTCCCACAAGTCACTGATTTGAGGAGGGTTTCTGCCGATCCATTTTCTCGGAGGCTTGAAGATGGGATTTTTTGGTCATGGGCTGAAGTCTAGCTAGGGATTTACCATAGACTTGATGGCAGAGTTTGTGTAAAAGTAAAACCCAAATATAATAGCAAAAACCCTCTGGAGAATAGTTGAATCTGGCGACTCTTTAAAGGAAAAAAGTACTTCCTTGATGAATTTACTTCGTATAATTGGATTCGGTTTGAAAGTGGGCCATCTTCTTTTGTTGCTATGTTGCTGGTTTTTGTCCCTCATCTCCCTGAATTGGCTGAGTAATGAGAGAGCCATGATCACAAAGTCTGGTTTGCCTGGTGATGGAGGGCAAGCGTGGAAGAAATTGTTGAATCGGGTTTCGGATTGTGTTAACAAGATCCACCATCATTATTCACAGTATTTTGGGTCTCGGAGAGAGAAGAACAACTGGTGGAGGATGTTTTTGATTGGATGGCTTGCAATGGGGATTATAGTTTCTTTGTCGGCTTTTTGGTTAATGAGCTCGCAGGCTAATGAGAAGAGAAAGGAAACACTTGCGAGTATGTGCGATGAGAGGGCACGGATGTTGCAAGATCAGTTTAATGTTAGCATGAATCACATCCAGGCAATGTCTGTCATGATTTCAATATTTCACCATGGCAAAAACCCATCTGCTATTGATCAGGTAAAAGTAATTGACTCATTTGTGTTTCACATACAGGCAGTTTTTGAGATGGATGATTGCTGAAACTGATATCGTTTTAGCGTTGTGGCAGTTATGGATGATTTTATCAGTTCACGAATCATTTCTTGTGATAATTGTTCATTAAAGTTGGATTCTTGGTTTCTAATGATTATGCTTTCTGTTAGTACTCATAGTCATCAGTATGTATTCTTTTTTTGGTTAGAGTTTTGTGTTTGGACTGGGTTGGTTCAGAAGGTGAATGAATTATACTATTTATGCCCGGATTTGTTTGTATGTATTGGTAGAAGCTATGATATGATATACAAAGTTAATTTTGATAAACTTAATGTATATTTATAATCAGATGCTGTTCTTGGTTCTTCTAATTTCAAGTGCCTTATCTTAATGGTTCAACTGCCGGGGATTTGCAGAGCACCTTTGCGAGGTACACAGAGAGAACATCGTTCGAGAGACCACTCACAAGTGGAGTAGCATATGCAGTGAGGGTGCTCCATTCCGAGCGAGAGCAGTTTGAGGCCCAACAAGGATGGACTATTAAGAGAATGGATAAAATTGAAAAAAATCCCGTTCATGATGACAAATATAATCAAGCGGACCTCGAGCCGTCTCCGGTGCAGGAGGAATATGCACCCGTCATCTTTGCACAAGAAACTGTTGCTCATGTTATTTCTGTTGATATGCTGTCTGGAAAGGTAAACCTCAAAGTCCTCTAATTGTGTAGACTTTATTAGCGTGGAGGAGAATTAGAATTAGAGTTGAACTATTTGTAAAAACTTCTGGTTTTGGGAAAAAAAAAATGGAGTATAGCAGAAGAAAGTATCAAAAAGTAGAAGGGGGTCATAAGTGGTAGTATATGGTTACAAGAGAATATTTGGTGAAAAATGGGAAGCAAATGGGATTGATTTGGATTGGAAAAACTAAGGAATGTGTTCCTTCTGCTATTACGTTCCGGTTGCGGTTATGCCAAATGAAATGGACATTTGAAAGATTGAAAAAACTACTTATTCTTAGTAGAAGCTAATAATTACTTTCTTTTAGTGATTTGCAGATATTGAGTAACTTCAAATGATTAATTCTGACAACTAATTTTTTAAGTTGAGAGTGAAAGCATGAGAAGAAAGAATACGTTGTGATTCAAAATCCTTTTTACCAACAGGAAGATCGTGAGAATGTATTGCGGGCAAGAGAATCCGGAAAAGGCGTCCTCACTGCCCCATTCAGATTACTCAAAACAAACCGTTTAGGGGTAATACTGACGTTTGCCGTCTACAAAAGAGAACTTCCCCCTGATGCAAAACCTTCTGATAGGATTCAAGAGACTGCTGGGTATGTCATTTGCATTTAAAATTTCATATTTGAATTTATTACGTCTGTTTAAAAGGGAAAACAGATGAAGTTCAATGTTTTTCTTATTTTCCAATTCCAATACTCATCCAAATAGGTATCTCGGTGGCATATTCGATATTGAGTCGCTTGTGGAGAAACTCCTTCATCAGCTTGCTAGCAAACAAACTATCCTTGTCAATGTGTATGATATGACAAATTCCACTGATCCTATAAGCATGTATGGTTCAAACCCCTCATCTGATGGCCTGCACCGAGTCAGTTCTCTTAATTTTGGAGATCCATTCAGAAAACATGAGATGCATTGCAGGTGATTCAACTGTTCATCTCTTTATTACATGTAACAACATACTTGTATGTGTAAATTGGATTCCAATTGTTATGATTAAAATGGTAAACCTATTTATTTACTGATGCAGATTCAAACAAAAGCAACATTGGCCATGGGCAGCAATTTTTACATCAGTTGGGATCCTCGTAATTGATATGCTTGTGGCGCAAATAATCTATGCGACTGTGAACAGAATAGCAAAAGTTGAAGATGATTATCATCAGATGATGGAGCTCAAGAGACGTGCTGAGGCTGCTGATGTTGCTAAGTCACAGGTTTTTTTTGGACTGCTGTTGCTTCATATATGTATACCAGTGATCTATTTGTTTGTTTTAAGTATAAAGCAGTCAAAAATTGTGAAACTGAATTTATTTATTTTTTTTCCTGTTTCAGTTTCTTGCTACTGTTTCGCATGAAATCAGAACCCCAATGAATGGTGTTCTTGGTGAGTGTACCAAAACGTTCAATGTCTGTCTGGATTATGAGAATCTGATTCCTACGTGGTTCTGATAGTCTCTTCGTCTTTTTTATCATTTCAGGAATGCTGCAGATGCTTATGGACACACGTCTTGATGAAACTCAACAAGATTATGTGAGAACTGCAAGGGAGAGTGGCAAAGCCTTAGTTTCCCTCATAAATGAGGTTTTGGACCAAGCAAAGATCGAATCTGGTAAACTTGAGCTCGAAGCAGTTAGCTTTGATTTAAGGGCAATCCTTGACGATGTCTTGTCGCTGTTTTCTGGAAAATCGCAAGATAAAAAAGTTGAGGTAGATTATAAGTTCGTTTCCCTTTATCCTCATCCTACTTTGTGTACAGTTGTTCTCTAACAAAAGTCATTATTATCCTTAAACGCTTGCGAGAGCAGTTGGCAGTTTACGTGTCTAGTAAAGTCCCTTCAACACTGATAGGTGATCCAGGTAGATTCCGACAGATTGTTACGAATCTTGTGGGCAACTCGATCAAGGTGAGTTTATTTTATTGAAGATCTTAATAAATCTCAACTTAGTTTCTATTCTTCGTGGCGCATTTTGTAAATCGAATGTCCCCTTTTTCCATCCCATTCGGACACCGTAAATTTACATCGATAATTATAGAACGCGGCCCTTGTGGTTTATGATATTCACAGAAAAGCCCCAGGGAAGTCCTAAAAATACAGAAAAACCTTAAAGATATTATTTATTTCCACTCATGCAGTTCACGGACAAAGGCCACATATTCGTGACCGTTTACCTCGTGGAGGAAGTCATGGAAACGGAAACCGAAACCGCCAGCTCTCTGAGCGGGCTGCCGGTGGTCGACCGGAGGCGAAGCTGGTCTCGTTTTCGTGTCTTCAGCCAGGATAATAATACTCCCCTGGCCGGGTCCTCCCCAGACCAAGTGAACGTGATTGTTTCCGTAGAGGACACGGGGCAGGGAATCCCAGTCGAGGCCCAATCACGTGTGTTCAACCCGTTCATGCAAGTGGGGCCGTCCATCACACGGACCCACGGTGGGACGGGCATCGGCCTCAGCATCAGCAAGTGCCTGGTCCAGCTGATGAAGGGCGAGATCGGGCTCGCCAGCACACCGCAGGTGGGGTCCACTTTCACGTTCACCGCTGTCTTCACGGCCGAGCAGCAGCTGAACTCGAACTCGAGCTCGTCCGAGTTTCACGGGACCCGAGCCCTCCTCGTGGACTCGAACCCCGTGCGCGCCAAGGTCACCCGATACCATATCCAGCGGCTCGGGATCAAAGTCGAGGTCGTCCCAGAAGTCGGACCCGGGTCGAGGAGCAAGCCTGTGCAAATTGTGTTTGTCGAAGAGGAAATGTGGGAACGGAACGTAGAGGAGCTGGTGAAGGGCTCGTGTGGCGGGCCCACGCAGCCGAAGATTCTGATTTTGTCGAACTCTTCGGGGATTGGGCTGCCGCCGCCGCCTGTGGCAGCAGTGGTGGTGAAGCCGCTGAGGGCAAGCATGGTGGGGGCCACGCTGCAGAGGGCGATGGGGGTGAGGGGGAATCGGGGGAGCCAAGAGCTGCACAAGCTGTCGTCACTGAGCAGCTTGCTGCAAGGGAGGAGGATTTTGGTGGTGGATGATAATCGGGTGAATCTGAGAGTGGCGGCGGGTTGCCTGAAGAAGTATGGGGCGGACGTGGTGCATGCCGAGAGGGGGAAAGAAGCCATCTCGCTGCTTACGCCACCTCATCAATTCGACGCGTGTTTTATGGATATTCAGATGCCGGAGATGGACGGGTGAGCGAATTTGCCCTTACTCTTTTACAATTTGGTTGCTATTATTGAATTAAAAATAAACAGTAAACACAAAAGTTTTGAGTCTTTTTTTCTTGTAACGAGTCTTTTTCAGTTATGTAACGATCTTTTAGAAAAAGTTTAAAACTTGAAACTATAAAACATTCCTCAGGGTATTTCAACAAAACCCTTATAGGTTTCTGTTTGAGTAAAATGCACATTTGATGGCCATTTTTGCACCATGTCTTTGTTATCGATAACAAATACGAAAAATCGTGTAGGTTTGAAGCAACAAGGAGAATAAGGGACGTAGAATCTGGCATAAATAACGGCATAGAGGATGGTCAACTCTCTCTGGAAGCCTACGGAAACGTGTCAAATTGGCACGTCCCAATTCTGGCCATGACTGCTGATGTCATCCAGGCGACGAGCGAGGAATGTTCTAAGTGTGGTATGGATGGTTATGTCTCGAAACCCTTTGAGGCCGAGCAGCTCTACCGGGAAGTCTCGCGATTCTTCCAGGCGGGAGCCGATGAGAATCACCAGAAAGAATAAATTTGACCATCTCCTTGAGAAGAAAAAGAAGGAATCAACCAGAGGAGTCTATAAATTGATTGTGCATATTTATTTTTTTTTTTTCCTGCCCAAATGTGAGTATGCTGATGATTAATTAATAATCTCGTGATTGCCAAAACTCTCTTTGGTTCATTGCCCTGAATTTTACGAGCTGCGCTCTTGATTGCCTTCCACAATGCAGGGAAAAAAAAAATCCTTTTTTGTTCTCCGTTTTTTATTTAGAATAAAAAAAGAAAAAGAAAAAAGGAATGTACATATATAGGTGAAGATTCTTTGTGGAGAATTTTCGTCGTGGACATGGAGGCTACCTTAGTTTCTACGTACTTGTTGCAATGCAATGAACCTTAGTTGTAATATTGGCACTTTTT